TTTATTTTTATGTGGTGCTACGGCTCGAAGCCAGTGCCTCACACATGCTAGGGAAAGGCTCTGCCCCTGGGCTACAGCCCCAGCTCCCCCTTTGTTGCCTTCTTACGTGTGTAACAGCTCAAATCACTGCCCACTTTCCATTGTAGGTTACTTTTTGAGGTAGGGCAAATATGCTTCCCGGGACTTTGGCATTATGCCTCCTGGTCATTTGTACCTTTTTCCACCTTCAGTTTCTCTTTTCACTTAATTCTTTCCTCTTCCACAAATATGTGTGAACCTCTTTTTCAACAAGCAAAATAAACACAAAACTTCCCATGATTCTGTTGTTGCTTCAGAGAGTATCCCATAACATCAACCAGAGCATCCCTTATCATCCACCCTTATCATCCTGTCAACCTTCCAGCATCCACCATCAGGTCTTCTAATCATCCCTCTCTCCCTTCTCTCATCCAGAATTAGTTGAGTGCTTTCTCTGACTTTATTTTATACATGAGAAGACTGAGTTTCAGAGAAACAATAGGACCAACCAAGTCACAAAACCAAGTTTTCTCATTTAAAGGCCTTTTACCTTTAAACTAGCTGGTAGGTCACTGTTGATTTCCCAAATGCCAAACCCAGATGATACTTTTTAATTCTTATATTACTTGATCTGTATAACTTTTCAAATGGAGCATGAGTAAGAATAACAGTACTGGAGAAATTAAGGTTTTCAGTCTATGAAATGCATACATTTAAGTTTTTGGTTATCTGGAAGATTAGAAAGGTTTTTTATTCCTCTGTGGCAGGCCCAGTAAGCTACTAACTTGTCCAATAACTACTTTTAAAACCTCAGTTTGTTTATGAGAGCTTTACTGTTCACATTGTAGGTATGCATCAAGGAAAAGAATTCAAAGTGACACCAAATGTGTTCATTAAATAACACTGTATTCCCATTTGGATCTGTGTAGTTTTTCTAAAATAGTTCTAGGTGCTCATCCAAAATCTGATGTGTTTCTGGATAAGGAGAAGATAGTTATACTAAGACCTTACATTATAAGATGTGGTTTGAAGTTTCAGAAGGTTTCAAATCTTCCTTTGCAAGTTATTCAGCAAATCCCAGAAGGACAGGGGTCCTTTTTATACTAGTGTCCCCTGTGCACAGCAAGGACAATACTCCTGATATGATATGACAGCCTGAGAAACCCTCTATTCCCCATCACAGCTGCCTGAATAACCCAGTCTTTACTAAGGTCTATTAATTTCTGCATTAGAAATACTGGGTGAAAGGTCTATTCTATTATAATGCAAATGTCCAGTTAAATGAGTCATTTGCTCCTCTGATGAATTATCTAGTACCACTTTATAGACTACTTCTGGATTGGTTTTTATAACAACAAAGCACAGAGAGAATGTGTCAGAGGGAACTTAAAGGGAAATAGTAGGCTACAATTGTCAGTGTTGTTTACATGAAGCAAAGACATTCTAAAAAGAGTCCTGATAAGGTGATGGCAGAGAGCTGGAACTCCAGGCCAAGGCTGTTTAATTAGATGCGTGATTTGGTCAGGTCTGCATCTTGATGGATAGTTTTTTCTCACATATTTTCCTCACATGTAAATGAACTCTTTACATGTCCTTTAAGGTTCGTTTTAGTGCTGACATTCTGAGGTTCTGCAAGAGGAACTGAGAAATCTGAAGAATCTCAACATTTTTTTTCTCTGTGACCAGTACAGGCATGCCAGGAGCAACCTGTGGGAGGATTTGTTGGTCTGTGGCATGGACCAGGGATCAGATTTTTGTAACCCTGGAACTTAGCTCATGACTGGTTGGAAACACTTAGTAGAGCCTAATGGAATGAGCAAATAAAGTGCTGGCAGGTACCCTGGTAGTGTGACATAGAAAACAGAGCAAAGAATTGGGGCAAAGAAGCCTCTTCCCTACAAGCAATTGAGAGCCACTGCTAGCTCTGTGACCAGTGGCCTGGGTTCTTTGGAGTCTTCTTCCCCTTCTAATAGAAGAAAAGGTGTGGATTTCCTTAAGGCTTTGTTGAAAGGTCAGGACTGTATGGTGAGCTGCACTCTTTGTCACCATGATTAATCAGGGATTTCCTCTAACAGTCTAGCAAGACAATGATGTATAAACCTGTACTATGGACTGGCAAAAAAAAGGGTGTGTCATAGCAGTGCGTGTATATAGGCCATAGGAGGCATGTACATCATTGCTACAACAGATGGCAGTTTTGCTGTTGCTTTTGAGGACCAACTATGTGTCAGGTACTTAGTAGTTTTATATATATATATATATATATATATATGGTTGGTGTGAAAATTGAGAACCCTTGAGGATAAATAATATCATTTCTACTTCAGAGTGGAAGGAACTGATATTTAAATAACTCATCTGGGGTTATGGACTCCCTTATGGATCCATGGTCTCTAAATTTACTTTTTTTTCCTTCAAGCAAAATCTCTCATTCCTAGAATTTCAAACATTACAGATTGGTCCTGTCCCTTCTTAACTTTCATACTATTGCCCCTTCTTTGCCCAGAGAAGTTACTGTGTGTGTGTGTGTGTGTGTGTGTGTGTGTGTGTGTTTGTTTTACTGAGGATTGAACCCAGGACCAGGGCTAGGATATATGGTCAGCAAGTGCTCTACCATTGTGCTATATTTCTAACACCCACCGCATTTTTAAAAATGTTGAGACAGGGCCTCTCTAAGTTGCTTATGCTGGCCTCAAACTTGCAATCCTCCTGACATAGCCTTCCAAGTAGCTGCAATTACAGGTGTGTGCATCTGTGCCCAGTTTACTTAAATGTTTTAACATGTGAAAATTCAAATAGCTGGAAGGAATAACTCCCTGGAATTTAAATCAAGATGTCCTATTATTGGATTGGAAACATTTGGTCTTATTGATATTTTCTTCTCATATTCATAGATGTTCTTTTTGTCTTTTAAGAAATTTTTGGTACAACGAAACATCAGCTTTTAAATAATAGCCTAAAGGTTATTCAAGAGCAAATAACAAAATACTGTTTCTATAAAATGAGTAAGGATAAATTAATTAATTCTATGTTAATTGTACCTTCCATGTTATAGTACTAAAATATAATATAGCTATTCTGTAAGTTTCTGAGATATAGGGGATTCTAATAAATAATTCTGAGAAAGAAATTTGACTCCTTAAGGACCAAGTCCCCAGTCAAAGGGAGGAGAGGCAAGTATGAGAGGGAGCAGCTTTGTTCAGTGGTAGGAAGTATTAGCTATAGAGGTGGGGTGCAGGTAATGGAGTGGTAGCAGCTTAGGAAGTCCTGGCTTCAGCCTGGTCAACTAACTAACTTTGTTCCTTCATTTTATTAATAAACATTACTTCTTTTCTGCTTTGCAATTCTTCATACCTACAGAACTAAGAAACATTAATGGTACAGAGCAAATGGTTTTTGTTTTTGTTTTTCATTAAAAAAAATACTTCTTAACAAGTGGGACATTGCTTGATTTCAGCAGGTGGGTGACATCCATACAGGAAATGATCTCTCATTCTCTTTTTTTTTTTCATGCTTGGGGTTTTGAACCCAGGGCCTCATGTATGCCAGGCAAGCACTTTACCACTGAGCCACATCCCCAGCCCTCTCATTCTCTTTTTATATTTTAATATTTTTTTTTTTTGAGACAGAGTCTCATTATATTGTCCAAGCTTGCCTTGAACTCCTCAGTTTCAAGTGATCTTCCTGCCAGGTAGCTGGGACTATAGTTGTGGGTCATTGTCTCTACCCGCCTCTTATTATTTTATTCAGTAAAACCAGCATTTCTCTAAGATCTTGTTTTAAAAAGGAGGAGGGGGACTTCTCTTAAAAATTCAGGCAGGTGCATGCCTATAATTGCAGTAGCTTGGGAGGCTGAAGCAGGAGGATCGAGAATTCAAAGCAGCCTCAGCAACTTACTGAGACACTAAGCAACTCAGTGAGATCCTGTCTCAAAATGTTAAAAAGGGCTGGGGATGTTGCTCAGTGGTTAAGTGTCTCTGGATTCATGCCCTGGGACAAAAAAAAAAAAAAAAAAAAAAATTAGGAAAGTATGGTTTTGCATGAATATAAAATGTCAAAATTGGAAATATAGTGAGCTATACTTTGAAAAGTGGCTTACTCGGATTCATTTCTGGCATTGTCTTTCAGCTAACGTGATCTTATTATTTGAATATTATATTAATTTGGAGGAAAATAATATAGAACATCTTAACAATGTTTTTTGTGTGTTTGTTATTTTTATTTTAATTTCCATATTAAAAGTAAAACAAATTTATTAAGTTCTGTGAACAATTCCCAAGGCTCCTACCATTTTCAGATCCTTATTATTGTGCAAACCAAGGTTTAAAAATATGCAAATATTGGTACATAAATGAGAATACATATAACATGTGTAGGATGTAAAGCTTAATCACAAAGACCCTAGAATCCCAAACCAGTCTTAAAACCTAGAATATTACCAATTCATTGAAGCTGTGTGTCCCTATTCCTCAAGTTCATCCCTCTTTGAAAATATTAACTGCTATTCTGAATTTTATAATTTGGGGTCTCTCTCTCATGCTTTTAAAATCATATCACATACACATACATTTAAAGTGATCTGCTATTTAGTTTTTTTAAAAAATATTTTTTCTTTATATATGACAGTGGAATACATTACAGTTCTTATTATACATATAGAGCACAATTTTTCATATCTCTGGTAGTATACAAAATATATCCACACCAATTCGTGTCTTCATACATGTACTTTGGATAAAAATACAATATTTTTAATCCATGATTATAGTTACATAACTTTTTTGAAAACCAGACTTCAGCAGAGAAAATCACTTTGTGAACTTTCAATATTATTGGTATATTAATTTTATTAAGATCTTTGACTGTTAGGATAAACTAAGTAAATTTTTGGAAGGTGGACAGAATTGGAAAACAAATTTTATGTACAGAAATCATAAATGGTAAAAAGAGATATAAATATCCTTACTGTTTTTCTATTCTAGATATTTGAATGGTGGTATTTTCGCAAATACGGAACATCGTTCATTGAACAAGTCTCAGTAAGCCACTTGCGCCCCCTTCTGGGAGGGGTTGACAACAACTCCTCCAACAATTCTAACTCCAGCAATGGGGACTCAGATTCCAACAGGCAGAGTGTCTCAGGTATGGAAAACTTATTACAAGATTATTATGAATATGAGATACCAAGAATCTGTTGAGGGTTAAGCTTCAGGAAAATATGAAGTTAATTTTCTGAAGGATTTGACAAATCTCTATCAGAAAAGTAGGGTGTAAGCATTCTAGGGAAAGGAAATGTGTATGTTGTTAATTTTACTTTTTCTCCCATTTATTTTAGCTAGTGGTCATTTATTTCAGTGTACTCAACCAGAGACCAACATCATTACTGGTAGTTTCTCAAACTTTAGTGAATGGATACATTTTCTTTTATGACAATTTGTCTAACTAGATCTGATTACTCATTTGCTTAAAAGCCTTGGTTCCCATTTCATTGAATGTAAACTCCTGTCCCTGATTCCTTAGCACACACAGCACAAGCTGCTTTAATCTATCTTGCCAACTTTGGTACCTGTCACAGTCCATGCCCTTTCTCATGTGTCTACCTTGAAGCCACTTCATTTTTTGTACACACCATGTTTCCCATGATCCTGTGCCTAGAATGTTTTTTTCCTGGGTTGGTTCACCCATCACTGTCTATCAGCTGTCACACCTCCTATGAAGCTTTATCTGCTAGGTGTACACTTTCTACTTTTATTCATCCTTCATATTTTTTCCTTTAGTAGCACTTGTCAGACTGCATTGTAATTTTTAAGATGTTCTAATATCTTTAGCATTCGCACAGCATCTATTATATCTTTGCACTTCAATGAGAAGATAAGAGGATCTGTGCTTTCTCTGCTTGTAAAACAAGAGGGAAGAATACAACTCTGAACTGAGTCTCTTCATTGACTCTGTAAACATTTCCTAAGTACTTTGTAAGAACCTTTCTTTGTATTGGCTCTTTCGAATACTATGAAAAGTCAGTCCTTGTCCCAGTGGAACACTCTGCCTATTGAAGAAAACAAAGCCATAAGTGCTCTGATTGTTAAGAGGGAAGCATACAGTGCTGTAGAAGACAAGGAGGCCCCGGACCAAACTGGGAGAAGGAGATTGCTTCTTGAAGGCAAAGACACCAATTTTGAGACCTGAAGGATAAAGAAGTTGAAGAGTTAGACTAGATTTTTTTTCATTCTCTGTTCAACAGCTCAATCCACATTTCATAACTGTCTAGCCATTGAGGAACATTGTACATATATTTTGTTGCCAATGTTGATTCAATACTCTTTTTAATAGACTCTTTGAATGGTGGTATTTTGACACCTGAGAGGTACTAGGAAGCTTTCGGTACACATTATTTCATTCCAAAGGATACATGTGTGGGCTTTGGCACCACCCAGGTAACAAAATTCTTTGGGACTTTGTAAACTCATCTACTTTGTGAAAGAAAGGGAAAGAGACCTGAGCAAAGTAAACTATTACTTTAACAGCTGCTCTAATAAATGTGGCTTGTTTTTCTAATGAGGAATCTAGATCTTTCAGTCATAATCATCATAAGCAGTTGTGGATAATCACTACCACTGTTCATCTGCTGTGAATGCCCCACGGATTAAAGGTGCTGTTGTCTGACTCAAGTTACTGTACACTTTGAGTGACACAGAACATTGCAGAAAATTATCACATTGAAAAAGAAAACATCCTTATTTAAGGCATTCTTTATAGTGAATACATTTGTGAATACATTTATATTTTCATTTAAGTCCTTCCTTTCTCTTTAGCCAGTTTAAATCTTTAGATATTCCTTAATGTAATAAAGAGTTCATACTCTTCTTGTTACCACTATAATTTCACTCTCTTTCTTAGTGGATGCCTTGATTAAACTTATTCATTATGTTAATCTCAGCGCTATTCTTCATAAAGGAGAACCTAAGCCCTTTTGAAAAATATATTCAGCCAGGCGCCTGTATTCCCAAGTCATTGGGAAGATCATTATTGGTACCTATGAATTCTAGACCACTGAGCAGCCCAGTCTCAAAAATAAAACAAAAAGATTTAAAAAATGTATTCAATAATAACTGTGGGAATTCTCAGTTTTATTTGTATCTAGTCTGTATCTGGCAAGAATGAACTTTTGATTATCACTCAATTACATTATTATTTATTGAGTGCCTACAATTCATTTCATATTTCCATTAATTTCCTGTATAATAGAGTATTGGTGATCTGATTTTATAATGATATTTAAATAATTACTTTCAAAAAATGAGAATTTCCTTGTCTAAGTATGTTTTGGGCTCAGTCTTCCCACCTCTTGATGTTTGGGTTACTAATATTTGTCTAATACTATCTAACATTTGTCTAACAAAGTTAACATTTATTAATTCGTTCCTTTGCTTTATTTAGTTTAGAAGTAAACTGCTCTTTTTCTTTCAAATGTATAGTCTCTGATAAACCCTGCTGATACATCTTTCTATCATACCATGTTTCTCATTGCCTTTTCTTAATTCAGTGCTGTTTATGAGCTGATGATGCATAGGGATTTAAAATGTGGACGACTGCTCTGCCTGAAGGGAAGGGATTCTTGCAGCATAATAACATTATGAATTGAGATTTATGTAGGCATCTATTTGATAATTTACCTTTTTCTCAAATAAGTTGCCATGAAGACAAAGATCTGCAGCATTCACCTTCTTCCAGATGCTGGGAAAAAGTACAAGGTGCTCTAGCACTTAAGCATCCTTGCCAAAGTCAAGTTTAAATCCTCAGAAATACTTTAATAGCATTTTGGAAAGAATTGGATCTTAGGACAAACTGTGATATAGTCATTTGGCTTCCTATCGCAAATTATCTCATTTTAATCTTACTTAATTTTCATAAGATAGATATTTTAAATTCTAAATATTCTAATGATTCTGAATTCTAAATAATTCTAATCCACATAAATATGTATATTCTGAATTTTAAATTCATTATATCACTAGAGGCAGTTCCAGCACTGATATAATAAAGGTAATAAATCAAAGCAATGGATATGAAGAAACTTCTATATAGAGAAAAAATACATATTAAGCTCTTCATAGATATGTATTTTTTTTCTCTCCATAGAAGTTTCTTCATTAAGTTCTTCATAGATCCTAAACTGTCATAACAACAGAATGAACGATTTTTCTCCCTAGGAAGCCATATAGTTCCAATAGCTTTACATGATATTATTTCACTTAATCCTTACAACAACCCCATTAAGCAGGTTCTGTAATTATCTCCATTTTTTGCTTCGGGAAGCTGAAATCATGGGCCCAAAGTCACATGACTTATATCCTGGACAGTCTTTCTTCAGAATCCAGGTTCTTAAACTGAAAAATTTAAGTAACCCTCTCCACACCCTCCTGGGTATAAAAGTGAGGTTTAATGTAACTATTAAGCAAGTAAAATCATGTTATTAAAGCCCTGTACTATAATGCATGACATTATTTCTGAAATGACATGGACCTAATGTTTAAAAAAATTTTTTTTTTTAGTTGTAGATGGACAAAATACCTCTTGTTTGTTTGTTTATTTATTCATTCATGGTGCTGAGGGGCTAACCTAGTGCCTCTTACATTCTATGTAAACACTCTAGCACTGAGCTATAACCCCAGCCTGGACCTGACTTATCTTTAAAAAGAGCTCAGTGGCCAATGGTTGACAGCATAGCCTCTGAGGTCATACAGATGTGACCCTAATCCTGGCTCCATCACTTTCACAGTGAGTGATCTTGGTCATGTCATTTAACATATCTAAGCCTGAGTATCTCAATATGTAAACATGGGAATAAATAATATCTACATCACAAATGTAGTTTGAAAATAAAATGAAGCCCATGCAGAAGTATCAAGTCAGAGGACAGCTGTTTGGCAGTGTCTCCTGGATGAACTGAGTTCTCTGTGAACGTGATGAAGGAAAATGCCACAAGCACATGAGGATGTATCTGTGGGGTCAGCTGGGCTTATTTGCTAGCTCAGTCACTCTTTTACATCCATGTATTTGAATCTTGCATTTCAAATATTTCCCTCTGCAAAATTGCAAATTGCCATGAGTCAATGACCTTTGGGATTGTTCTTTAGTAATCTCAATGAAGACAAACTCAATTTGTACTAGACAAAATTTATCACATTTGTTGAAAATAATTGTCTTTGCCAATGCTGATTAAAGCTTTCCAAAATCTTTGCCAATAAAATTTATGTTTTATTATAGATTAGATTTTTAGCTAAGTGGTAAAGATCCTAAATAGTTTTAGCTGCTGGCAAATTTTTAATTAATGAACTTATTTCACAATTTCCACATTATTAGAGTGGATTGACTTAGGTCAGAAATGATCAGTGAGAAATATATGACAGATAAAATTAAAGATTTAACCATCTTGGTAATATTCTTGAAGAAAGTAATATGCTATCTTGAATAAAGTAGGTCAATAAAAATGGGCTCAAAATTTGTATTTACTTACACCCTTGCTTATTTCATTAAAGAATTTGAAATAGTAACATATTTTGTTGAATTGAAAGCTATCTATATGTTACTTTGTGCCTTTAGTTCTAATCATTTTTTCAAAATGATTATTTTGAAATGTGAAATATTTAAAACAATTTTTTTAAAAAATGAAGACTTTTGCTCTTAAGGATTTCTTATAATTGATCTGTATGATACAAAGGATTGGGTATTCATGTCTGAGGTACTAGAAGCTAATGAATACAGGCATAATCACATGCCATAAATTAACTTGAGTTAATTTGAGGATTGGAGTACATCCAATGATATTGTACTTTAGAACTAAAATGCTTAACAGTATTATTGAAGTGACTAACATTTGCCCAGAGGAGTTTTCAAAACTATTCCTCTAATGGAAAATTTAATTAGGAAGTCACAGGATTTTCAAATATGGTGTTTCAGGTTGACAGTTTTATTGCTTATCATGGGTAAAAGTTGAGGAGTCTGGACATCAGGCATTTTCAACTTATTTGCTGTGGACCTTGGGGATACTATCTGGCTGTTCAGTATTTACTTTTGTAAAAGGGGTCTAACATATGCCTCTTACTAATTTGGGTAAAGGGTAAACATGACTTGTAATTTTAAGCCCTTTTGTAGAAAGGATCAACACAATTAAGCTTATAACTCTAACAAAAATTACTACTACTGCTGTTTATAATATTGTCAGATTTGAGATTTTGGGGAAAAAAGTGGTCAGTTTTTATTATAAGAAATCTTTCTTTAGTCCCACTCGTGGAGTCCCCTTCTCCTCTTTTCCTCTTTATTTTGCTCTTGTTTCTACAGATGAGAAAAAAACATTTGACTCTTGACTATCTGGGTCTGGCCTATTTCACTTGGATGATGTTCACCAGGTCCATCCACTTACCAGCAAATGCCAAAATTTCATTCTTTTTCATGGCTGAGTGAAACTCCATTGTGTATAGATACCATATTTTCTTTATCCATTCAGTGGAGTAGCTGAAGGGGATTGAGGGCAAGGGAGGAGGTACAGGAAGAAGGAGGAACTGCAGAATGAAATTGAGCAAATTATGTTATGTATGTATATGGGTATACCACAGTTAATTTCATTTTATGTGTGTCTATAAAATACCAATTTAAAAAATAAATAAATAGAAGGAAGAGCAATGGAATAGAGGAAGGGAAATGGGGGAGGGAGGAGAGGAAGTAAGAGGAGTACTTGGGACTGAAATGAAGCAAATTATATTCCATGATTTTCAAAATGAATCTCACTATTATGTATAACTATAATGAACTAAAAAAGATATTAAAAAAGGAAATCTTCCTGTGCTAGAATTAGTATTTTATGTGTTTTAAAGCTTAAGGAATGGGAGCTCTCTATCATTTATTTTTATTTTAGAAAATGTTTCAGAGTTAAGTTGGACATAGAAAATTAGTTTTTTTCCATGTGATTAAAAGTCCTATGACTTTGAGCCTTTTGTCTTTTTTGAGAATTGATTTCCTCTTTTTCTTGAGGACAATGACAAAGAGGAAAGTCTGTTGTTCTTTCAGAAAACTTAGTGCTTTTATAGAGCTTCTTTTGGTGGGATGCCAGGTAGTGGCTCAGTACCCTTTGTACTTTCCTGCCCAGGCTAGATGCAGATACAGTCATAAGCTGTATCTGCATTTTTTTTAAATACTGGGGATTTACCCCAGGGAGTGCTCTACCATTGAGCTACACCCCAAGCCTTTTCTTATTTTTTATTTTGGAACAGGGTAACACTTAGCTGCTGAGGCTGGCCTCAACTTGTCCCCCTCCTGCCTCAGCCTCACTTCCTAGGATTACAGTTGGGCACCACCACACCTGGCTATATCTGTTTTTGCAAGTCAGGGCCTAGTGCAAGTGTTAATGCATAAAGAATAAGAAAGTATGAAGTAAGTATGATTGAAGTGAAAAGTTTTAGTAGGAATTAACCCTGCTAAGTAAGTCTTTTCCTGCAAGCTTGCTTTTAGAAGTCCTTAATCATACTAAGAATTATTTTTAGATGTTCTTTCTCTCCCACCCCAAAACTTATATGTGTCCTACTTTGAGAAAGGAATGAATCTGCTCTGTAGACATTGGAAACTAAACAGGTGCTATTTCAATGCTTGCTCGTTTATCTCTCTTGAATTGTATTCTTGCATGCATATTGTGGTCACACATTTCCTCCAACAGTTGTGGGTAGAGATTGTACTATGGACGTTGCAGATGGAACTGTGGAAAGCATGTTTTTGTGTCAGGGGCTTATTTATAACTAAACTATTAATGACATTAGTAAGCCCTTGTTGGGGTCCCAACCAACATTTATTGCTTTCCAAGGGCACTGAAAATGTGCATGTTAATGGAAAATTGGAGAATGTAAAATTTCTTTTGGAGGTAAAATTCTAAATCTGATTTTACATAAGGAATTCATTTCTCAAAGTACATATAAGATAAGAAACAGGACCTCATGTGGAAAAACTCTTCCTGTTTGGAGATCTGAGTTTAATTTCTTCTCTTAAATCTTCATACTTTAATATGTTTGGCATTTACACCCTTCGTCCGTATCACTAAACCACATCAGACAGCCTTATATTTATGTGGCATGTTCCCTAGACTGATTCCAGACTAAGAGCTTTTGTAATAAAGATAAGATGATGGAACAGAACAACAAAGAAGATGCACTGGTCTAATTTAAAGCAAAACTTTGATCTATGTTCATATATGACCTCTAGATTGCTTGTTTCTTAAAAGAAAGTAACCTGTCCTGCATCTTCAATTTAAAGGTTTTAATTTGTGAAGATATTTCTTATGTACTACATTATGTATATTTTATTAACATTGAACAGAGTATATCTGTTTCAGCTATTTATATCTTCATTTCTAAGTTTCAGGGACAGTTAAAAAACTGCATACAGGATACACATGACACCAATGTCAACAAGGATTTTTTAAAGTTCAGTTCTCTAACAAGAAGTCATGAAAGCAGTATTTCATAATGTTTGCTGCACCCCCTGCTGGCCACACAATGGTACTTCCTAAATAAAAATAATGTCTACATGCTGCTCAGTGAACACTTTAAATACACACACACACACACACACACGCACACACACAGAGTTTATCTTTAGAATTATTTTTGTTTAGAAATACTTTAAATTTAATCTGATATATAATAGATTTGAAACTTTAATTGAAGATAATTTTCTTTCTAATTTGCCAAATATTGTTTGAACAGTGTTTATCCTTCTAGGCTGTATAATAATGTATTTGTTTACCATAGTCCATTTTACTGATATTTCAATGAAATTCAATAGGGAGGAATCATCTTCCCACATATCCCTATTTTTCTATTGTGAACATCCTTGAACATACATCCCTGGGTATGTTTACTATATGCTGACCACAAACTTAAAATACTTGTAAGGCTTTGAGATGAGCAATTTGAATCATGAAAGAGTTTTTCTGAGGAAAGGTTGGCAGTGGTGAGGTCCAAAGAGTTACAGCAGCCAGAAGGACAGAGATCATGTTGTTTGGCTCACCAGTGTGTCTCTAGCCATGATCTGGAGTCAGTGTGTTCATGACCCCTTTGTGAGACTGTATGTTTGAAGAAAAAATAAGTATTTAAGGGAAACATAATTTTCTATTTAGTGCCACATAAACTGACAGCCAACAAATCTCAGTTTTTCAAGAGCAAAATTCAGAGATACTGCACCAAGTGAGGAAATATAATTTCCTAAATGGCAGGTTAGTCTAAATGATAAAAAATTTAGGGTCCATTACTTAAAAACATTAAGCAAATTTAAAGTGGGATCCTGCCTGATTTAAAGGTAAATGCATCTTCTTTAAATGAAAGCACATGTTTCTGTTATGTGTATACCCTTCATTCGCTATTTTAAAAAATATTTATTGAGATGATACTGCTTTATGCCCTGTCATTATCACACTGTATTGTAGTTGATGTTTTACTCAATAACCCCTTGGTGCTCACATCAATGTCCATGGGATAGATGAAAGGTCAATGTTGGATGTGAAGGACTGAGGATAGAACTCTAAGTAATCACCATGTGGTCTTTAATGTTCTTTAGATTTCTGCAGTAATTTTGTGTGCATATGTCTTTGGGTGTGTTTTTCATTAATTTTCACACACAGAGACACACAGACACACAGATATTTTTATTTTCTAATAAACCATATTCATCCAAAGAAATATATTATTATGGATCAGTAGAAAGTCTTAATCACAGGGTGTTTTAAAAAATTGGAGCTTAGTAGTCACACACTTACTGTCTTGAAGCTCCTGATTGATTTTCTAAGTCAAAGCCCTGTAGTTATAAGTTTCTGTGGTCCTTGACCAAGAGGTGCAATCTCTTAGTAGCTAACAACAAAGATATTACAGTTATGATTAGCATGTGTATCTGAGTAAGTAAATGATATTAAAATGCTTTAAAATGATTTCTTTTTACAGCATTTTCCCTAAAATAGTCATAATTTCATTAATTTTCTTACTTTCCAGGAAGGCAAAGCAAACTGGTGAATTGTCATGAAATCTCAATTAGGAGTTTAAAGCTCTGTGTATTATATTTTAGAGCTGACATTTAGTTTGTAATGTGTGATGTTATTGTGAGACATATTTTAGAACAAGAGAAAGGCATGTTACATCTTCCTGTACTTTTAGCTTATAATTTTAGAAATAATTTCATAGAATCTGTTTAGGTTTCTCAAAATAACTATAGAAATTATGAACTAGATGATTTTGTCATGTACTTTCATTTGGAAAATGAGGAAGTTTGGACCCAGAAAGATTAGGTGAAACTTGCCTAAGCCACATTTTCTGATTAACCTGTCAGAATTTTTCTACATAGCTTCCCTGTAAAGGATAGAAAATAAAATTATCTTATCAAATGACCAGGAAGGGTGTTTTGTCAAGTTAATTAGCTTGTAATGTCACTGAACTTATGTGTAACATTTTCATATTTCTCTTTGTTTCAGAATGCAAAGTATGGAGAAATCCACTAAATTTATTTAGGGGTGCTGAATATAATCGGTAAGCATTTTGACAGCTTGGGAAACAAATGAGTCTGGTTCAGAGAGGAAAGACAGCAGCAAATGTTTTTACTGGTTCATTTAGGGGTCATGTTACAGTGTTTAGTGCTTCCATTTTTTAAAAAAATATTAAAATGTTTTGATTTTTATGTTTCATAATTAGGTTAGCACAGGATTTGAGATGATGTACAAAAATGTATTGTTTTGTATATTTTCTACTACAGTCATTCATTTCAGTATTATACTATACAATCAAAACATTTTAAAGCTTACCTGGAACATGGGTATAAAGATACCAGACAGGTTATGTTGGAATTTAATTTAGTGAAGTAAATTAGTCAAATCAGAATTTTCGTAGCTTTGGGGAAATGTCTATTCATAATACTAATTAGGGAAGGTTTTCAATAGCAAGGACTAGTAAAATTTTGAGGCAAAAATAGAGAGGGAAATGTTTGCTTCTTTCCTGCTATATAATTCCTGAAGGAAGAACAAGATGATTTAAATTGTTTTTAAAAATTTTTCATTAGCAAAGCCATTTTAATTTAAATCATAACAAGTTAATGGTTTATATTTCAACTCCTCTGCAGCTTACTATTTTATAGGTCTTGCTTTCTTCCCTCAGAACTGTCTGGCTGTCTTCCTTCCTCTTTACAGGTACACCTGGGTAACAGGACGAGAGCCTCTGACTTACTATGACATGAATCTTTCTGCGCAAGACCATCAGACGTTCTTTACTTGTGACTCGGACCATCTGCGTCCTGCAGATGCAAGTATGGAAAATTCTTCAGATAGTCACTGGGAGGGAGGGTTTTTCAGCTTGTTTAAGAACCATAGTTTCTGCTTTTAGAATATCTGCTCTATAAAAGCCCAATAAATAAAATATTAAATTGCTGATTGACAGTAGAACCTAGAATTCTAATGCTTAAAGCTTTATCTACAATGAAGTATCAATGTAGAAATGATGCTTATTATAATTTAGAACATGATTTTTAAAAAATATATCAAAGTTGGATGGATAAATTTTGAAAACATGTAAATCTTACCTGAAGCTAATAAAATTCATGGTTGAGATGGAATGGTCATATTGCCTTGATGATATTCTAACTAGAAGTTGGGATTCATGGAATCTAAATGATTAATGAATACATTTTAGTAACTTAAATGCCTATTTAAGTCCCCTAATTTTGAGTGGGGATGTGGCCTTTCCTACTAGAGTCTGTATGTGTTTTCCTTCCTAGAGAGACTTGGTTAAGCATGTATTTTACACTGCTTAAGTTACAAATAATCCTGCTGATATAATTTGTATTGCTAAGCTTAGTCAAAGTAAATAGGTGAACAAGAGCTTCTTAAACAGAAAGTTCTATATGTCCTTAAAAAAACTGACTTATAGAATACAAATTTATCAAACAAATTAAGGAAGGAGATGATTATTCTTTGTTTTTTAGTTACTCTTTGCCATGGTGGAACATCATAGTATAAAGGTTACCAAGCATTAAGCTTCTTACAATATAGTCACATACTGCTTTGACATATAGAAACTAGATTTGCAGACAAAATTGAGGAATAAATACACATGTTAAGCAAAAGCCTAATGCACTTCTTACTGACCCAACTCCTAATTCTTCAAATGGTTTCAGAATGTTCTAATATCTAGATCCTGTAGCAAGTATGTAGGAAAATGACAGATAGAAGTTATTTTGCATCTAAGTAGAATGAAGAAATGAGTAGCAATGGACATTTTAAAATATGTAAAATCATATGTATTCTCTTAACAAGAAATTATATTAATATGCAAAAGAAATAAAATCTGTTAGGATGCCTTTTCTTGATTTTTTCAGTCTATAAGATTTAGTTTTACAGTTATATGAGCACACAAAAAAAGTTCAGTATCAGCAATGAAATAGAAAATTAGAATATATTTGTGTGACTTTGTAAATTTGGGCTGACCCTATTGGTAATGAAAGTCTCTTGTAACTTTAAGCTGAAAGCTATTAATTTTTATGTTGTTCTGCATTGAATCTTCCTAATTATATGTACTGGTTGACTTGCTTTTTTCCTCTTTCTCTAACATAGTAATGCAGAAAGCCTGGAGAGAGAGAAACCCCCAAGCTAGGATTTCTGCAGCCCATGAAGCCTTGGAGATAAATGAGTAAGTGGAGGGAAAATCTTGCTGTTAAAGAGGAACTTTCATCTTTTGCTTAATATATTTGGTTCCCATTGATGGGATGCTTCCATTAAACTATGTATGACATTGGAGGATTATTTGGGGGATATTATTTTATAAAGTTTTCTTTTTATGAAGGATAGCCATGTGGAGGTGGTTTTAGTCATTTTAGAGAGCAGTGTAGTAGCTTTGTTTTAGGACCCTGAATCAAATCTTTTTAGGGATGTTGTGACCAGATAAAATAAATACAGTTCTTTACATGTCTAAAATATTTTGAAAGGGAAATTTTTCCAGATGTAGAATGCTTCTCTGTACTATCACATTTTCCAGGTAGGACTTCCAGTAGTGGGGAGACATAATAAAGTCATAAGGTGAAAAAAATAACATTAAAATTATTTTACAATCAAGGCAAAAGATAAGAGGAAATGCTGTCCTTGGTGTTGTTTAACATGCTATGGGTTACCAAGGAAGGCTGGAAAATCTCTTCTGGAGATCTCAGAAAATGAGAAAGATTCTTAAAGTGAGAGTCATAAAAACTTAGGGTTGGCAAAGACCTTAAAGGTCACTTAGCTCAACCACCCATCTGGTGCTTGAATCACCTCGAGATTATCCTTGCCAAGTGGTCATTGTTAAACTATTTTATGATTTTTCTGAAAAAAGTTACAGAATCTTCTCCAGAGGTCTTAAAGAGAAAAGAAAAATAGATTCACTTGAGACTTGGGAATTCTGCCATTGTAATCAGTTGATCTAGATGGTTTCTGGTTCTGTCATGCAACATATTTACTTTCCACTTTCTTGTCATCTACAAATTTGATATGCCTGCCTTCTGTGTTTCATCATGTTTCTGAGCAAACTGTCAGGGCCAAGAGTAGAACCCTGTGACATGACATATAGAAACTATGTTGTAGGTCTATATCTTCATGAGTCACCATTCTTGGTATTATTCAAACGATTACTGAGCCACCCAGTTATACTGTGATTCAGCCCATATTTTCCATTTGCTCTTAATGCCAGTTGTAGCTGTAGATCTTTAATTCATAATAAATCTACTACAAAAAAACGATGTTAGAACAACTTATTTATTCTTAGGGAATTTAAGCTGGCTTCGAGTAGTTACTGCTTTCTTTTTAATGTGCTTGGAGACCATCTCTTTAATAATGAGAATATTGTTCCAAATTACTTCTCTGTAGTTTGGGAAGTAAGCCTTCTTCCCCTTTTTGAAAAGCTATACTACATTTGTCATCTCATCTTCGAGTGCCTCTCCATTCTTTGTGATTTCTATCCTATGGAGCTATCCATAGGGAGCAATTCCATGGCCTGCCTACAAGGTCTGTTGGTTTCCTGGGATTCATCCATCCCAATACAGAAGTTTGTTCAGATGGATCAGTTATTTGCTATCTTACATCTTTTTACTCATTTTAGAGTTTAATTTCTTTCCCCCTTTTCAGTCTGAAAAACATTCTCCTTGATAGAGAAGCCAGGTGCAAGATGGGAGGGAGAGAGTGTCTGCTTTCTCTTTGGTATCTACTGCTGTTAAGCATGAACTTTCTCTGTGTTGCTGGTGGTGTTTGTCTTTTTCTGTTGCTTTTTGTTGTGGTTTTGGAGAAGTGGGGATGGAGATGGGGCCTTAAATCTAATTTTAAAGTAGGGAATAGATAATTGTATTAGTTATTTTAAAACTGTTTTTATGTTTTGTTTTGTTTTTGTGTGTGTGTGTGTGTTAGTGGTTTGTTCATTTGTGTTTTTTTGTCTTTTTATTTGGTGGGGGCAAAGCCTCAGATAATTTGGAGTTTTAGCACTCCTGATTTTATTCTTATGAATTCACTCCACTCTCTTGCAACCCTTCATTACATGCCCTCTTTCCATCTTTTTTTTTTACATGTCCTTTAAAAACTCTGACCTGGGAGACATCTCTGTAAAGCTGTGTTTTGGTTACTTATTTGCCACCCCTTTCTTCCCGAGAGTCATTGGTGATTGTAGTTATATAGTTTTACATTTGGAAGCTGCTTAATCCTCTTAAACCATTTTTCCTTCTGAGTCTCATGCCATTAAGTCATGCCTCTTTTCTTTGAATTTTTTGAAGTCTACCTCCCCCTCTTTGATTACCCTGAACTCCAAAATAACGTAGTAACTCTCTCTGAATGTTCCTATGGATTTCCATTTCACCAACTATTTTTTTCTTCTTGGTCAGAATTAGGTCCAGAGTTGAAGTTCCCCTAATTGCTTCCTCTACCATCTGGGAGATAAAATTGTTACCAAAGTAAGTCAAGAACCTGTCGGGTGCCCTACTTCTAACCAAATGAGACTTCTAGCAGACATCTGGATGGTTGACACCCCCATCACCACACTTTCTTGCTTCTGTTTGTGTATTGTGTTGTAACCAGGACGCATCATCTACCTCTTCCATTGAGCTGAGCAGTCTGTTCTGTACTCCCCAACCATTAGCACTTTATTGCTCTCTCCTTTTTCCTTCACTCACAAGCTCTTAGCATGTTTCTACCCCAAACTCATGAGTTTCCACATAGATGTATGTTTCTTGGCCAGTAGTTCTACTCTGCCTCTCCTCCTAAGAATACTGTTTGAAATATAAATATGAGAAGCAATCAAGCTAGCCCCAACCATTCTTGAGTTCCCATCCCACCCACTGCAGCCTTAGACCTAATTCCTCCGATGCTCTATCTACCACTCAGTATTATAAGCTCAATTTTCACTTCATTACCCTTGACCCATATTTACATGTTGGCATCTGAAGCCTTAAGTATATCCTCTGATGCCTGCCCCAGTTGTTTTCTCCAGTGAATCACTGGACAGTTTCAGCATCATTCCTGTTCTTTCTCAGTCATATATGCTGCCCTCCACAGTAACTGGTTATCCAGCTTTTTTTTTTTTAAATCCCCTTGGGCGTTTTTTTCCGCCTACCTCACCACATTCAGTTTAAAACCAACTTAATAGTTCCTGCCTGAAAGTAGAGGGGTTGACTAAGGAACTTATCTGACCCATCCTTAAGACTGAGATTAACTAGTGACCCCAAACCTTACATTAGCTGTTAAGTTCAGGCTCCTTTTCCTAGTTGGCTGTGGCAGTTAATTAATAGTAAAAATAACATTTGGTCTTACTTTATGTTTATTTTGTCTCTTGGGGTCTGATGGAGATATGCAGGAAAATGGCTGCAAAGAGGCAGTGGGGAAGAAAGGGGAGACTGTGTGGTGCAGATCAGGACCTGAGTGGTCTGCTCTGGCCTCACCATTTCCTTACTACATTCCCTTCCTTGGAAATGGGTTGTTCCTTGTATGATTGGAAGGTTTAAATATCCAAGAGTCCCACTTGTTCATGAGTTAATTGCATATCCTTTCTGGCTTCCTACCTTAGAGGTTTGTTGAAAGGATTATATGAGATGATACATGTTAAGCACCTGGTACAGTGCTTAATATATACCAAACAACAAATGGCAGCTAGTAGTCAAAGGCATGAGATTTAACTCTTTTTAGCTACTGTGGCTGAGTCAGATTTCAAGCTCTTTAGAAACAATACACTATATGTAGGTTTTTCTAGTAGTTTCTGAAGAAAAAAAAAATCAGTGCTATTATGAGACATTGAAGCACTATTTTCATAAATGAATAAGTTGATTTAAGGAATTTCTCACTCTGATGAAATTCTTGAATTGAAGAGGATTTACATTTAATAAACAAAAGTAAACTTTAATGAAATACCTCTAACTTTTAGCGTCAGAAGGAGATACTTAGTAATAACTCTTATCCTCACCATTAGTAGCTGACATTTGTTGAGCACAAACCACATGCTGGCTACTGTACTGATGAGCACTTCACATGAATCCCCTTATTTAACCTTCACAATGAACCAACAGATTCCACATCACCCTTCATCAGGGAGGCAGAGTAATAACTTGCCCAAAGTGACGCACTAATAAGGGGCAGCGTCCGTATATGAGCCCCATGCTCCTAACACTAAGCATCCTTCCTCTCAAGCTAAAATATAGACGTTTCCTTCGTGCCATTATTTTGTGTCAACAGCTACAAACAGGTGCATGAACCAGTTGGCCACTCTGCATGTTTTGGCGTAACTCCTTGCCCTTCTGCATGAACTCCTCCAGTCTGTGACCATGTCCTTGGATTTGTAATTGATGGTGGTTATTATCTAAATGGACAGGTGTGCAACTGCTTATATTCTCTTGGCTGAAGAGGAAGCAACAACCATTGCTGAAGCAGAAAAACTGTTTAAGCAGGCCCTGAAGGCTGGAGATGGCTGTTACCGGCGTTCTCAGCAGCTACAGCATCATGGATCCCAGTATGAAGCCCAACATAGTAAGGTTTCCTTCAGGCTGATGCATTGGGGTATCAGAATTGCAAATGTTTAATCAGAGCAAAATTTCATTGCAGTTCAAAATTTGATTCTTCTAGATGAGGACAAATTCTGGATTTTGCTTTTCTTGTTTTTTTTTTTTCTTCTTCTTCTTATAAGAGTACAGTTAGCTTCATTACTCTTTACATTCACATTCAATGTCTTGGCTGTAGACTCCCAATGCAAGAAATAGATGTCAGTAAACTTTAACAGTATTCTTATTTCGATCTAGAATTCTTACATATTCCTGCTTGTCAGTTGCTTCTCTCTTACCTTTAAGTTTGGAAACAAAACTTAAGTCAGTGTTATCAAAGTTTTTATATTATAGGTCTTCTATAGTATGGGATGATATAGGCCCATTAAGAATACAACAGTTATTGGTAATTATATCAGCATTTAAATTTTATTTAAGAAAATTTGAGATGGTTTGTAGACAGAAAGACCCATGAGTTCCTAATTGTTAACTGTTTTTACATTAAAAACAACACATTCTTTTATTTAAGATAGCTCTTTAAAATCTGAATCCTTTCATTTTAGTACACTAAACTGAGAGCCAGTGTTATTTTGGAAGAACAGTATAGAAATAAGAAAATTATTTCTGAAATTCCCTAAGCACCTGTCTCATCTTTCTTGGTTATTTAAAAAGAAATTCAGTGATTCTTGTGGGAGAAAAGTTTGTATGGTTTTACCAAAATTTACACTATTTCTTTAAGGTGGAATTTCTCACATCATTTCTCTCTCCTTCAATTTGGAGAATAGAAGTGTACCTCCTTTCTACTTGAGATTATACAATTAAATGTTAATATTGAATTTGGATTTATTGTAGGTGCTGACTGTATTAGTCTCTATGACTAAGGTGCCAGTAAGATCCTTGCATTACAGTCTGCACATACATAAAATCCACCAATACACAGGTTTTAATTTTTTATTCTGCAGTGAGTGTATATGTTAATGAGGTCTCTAATTAACATCTATATCTGACTTTTTAAAAAAAGTATAACTCATTGCATTTTTGAAGACATGTAATAAATGTCTATTTGATGAACTAAATGGAAATTAATATGTAAAATTACATAAACTGTGATACAACTTAAGAAATTTTCTTTCTTTTTTTTTCTCTAAATTAAATCCTTTCAACCTGTTGCCTAAATCTATCCAAAAAATATAATCACATCTTTAAAATAATTTGTAGGTCCTTGGCAGTTTTTCAGCACACATCTTGATCTCATTGTTTAAAATTTGAAATGTTCAGACTTGGTCTTAACATCTTTTAATAGCTGCATATTATACATGTACTTAATCTATAGCAGGTGTGTCATATTTTTCTCAAACATGGTAATTTTATTGAGGATTAAGCATATGCATGTTCTCACTAGTCTGGAAACATATCCAAAAAGACATATAATTAAATAAAAGATTAGGACAAGAAGTTGTTAATGTACTTTTTAAGGGCCATTTTAGTGACTATTGTTATAACTATTTAACTTGTCAATGCTTTCTCCAACACTAGGGTAGTTTTTCATTTTGGTGCATACTCTATTGTCATATCTGGAATGTGTTATATTGTCATCTAAAATCGACTGCTTTGGGGACCTGGAGATGATTATGATGTCACTAGTGTTAGAGAAAGAATAATATGAAACAGAAGTTCAACATGAGGCTTCTCCAGACTAAATGTCAAGAATAAAAAAAAAATAGTTCATCAAGATGCAACCTGGGATTCACCTTTTTTGCATTTTTTCCAAAAGCATGTACACTGGAAGTATGTAGAACTCTTGCTTGTAAACCGAATGCAATGTGGGTATGTTAATTTTCTCAGCACTATGTGACGGAAGATTTTATTTATTATCAAATATTCAGCATCAAAACTCAAAAGCGTGGATTTTGGTAACAAGTAAGATGATTTGGCCTTTGAGAGTCTGAGTTCTTTGACTTTAGTCTGTCTCCATCCTGACCTGAACAAAGTTGTCATTGCTCCTGGCACTAAGGAAAAGCCACAGGCACAGTCTCTTCTCACTGAGGTGTTTTTTTTAAGGGCAAAGTAAATGAGTCTGCATTTTTTTTCTTGCTGCTGAACTGAAACTCTTGTTTTAAAATTTTTGGTGTTTTATATCTCCCTATTCAGGACGAGACACCAACGTTTTGGTCTACATCAAAAGAAGGCTAGCGATGTGTGCCAGAAGGCTCGGGAGGACCAGGGAAGCAGTGAAAATGATGCGAGATGTGAGTTTGAATTTGTGTTTGGGGTCAGTGGCCGTGTGTGTGGCTGGGAGCTGTGGGAGCCAACTGAATGGACCCAGCAGAGGCAGCCAGTTATGGTGTGAGGGTTCCTGTGTGTCTATACCAGCTCCCAACTGACTGGATGAATGACCTTAGACAAGTCACTCCAGTTCTTTGCCATTATTCCTCATCTATAACATAACAATAACAGTCTTCAAAAGAACTTAAAATTACTCTGAGAATCAAATGAAATAATTCATGCAAAGCTTTTAATGTAGTGACTGGCACATTAAAAAATTAATAGATGTCCTTATTAAAAAACTTTGGGACTCTAGCTGGCAAGCAGTAAGAGATCAGCCATTTTAATCAACTAACTCTTTTTGTGTGTAGTGGTGAGGAAGATTTGAAAATAGCTCAAATTGTTAAGTTCAGTAATATTATGAATGTGTTCTTATGTAGTCATTTCAAGCATTTTCCTATATTCTTGAGAATAAGGGCACTTTATTACTTGTAGTCAACATAAGAATCAAGAAAAATGAAAGTAGGTAAAAGTTTGAGAACAAAAGAGAATCCAGGGAGGTTATTATTATGAAAACAAAACTAGTTTTAAGGGAAAGAAGTTAAAGAACTTTACTTCCATTTTGTTGTTGTTAGAAAGAAAAACTTTCCTCAAAGAAACTGACACTGGTATTTCTAAGCCATTTCCCTTTAAAAAAAAACAATCTCAGAAAGCCTAGATCAACATGTCATCCTTCTACTGTGTTCCTGAATTAGAAGACTTAGATACTCTAATTCTGTCCATGGGGTGAGATCAAAGTGGCATCTTGCACATATGACTGTGCAAATCAGTGAGCCTTTTCTCAGCTTGTCTCTGGAAGGGCAGTGTCTCATGGGAATTTTTAGATACTCTTTGGAGGAGGAAACTTGTGCTCAAGGCCCTCCCTAGTTATTTCTTCAAGTTACAGCACAATATGAAGGCCCAGGTGAGAACCATGCTTGGGTCTGCCCACTCCGGAAGCAGCAGTGTAACCCCCAAATCGGAGGAAAGCATCAAGAGGAGGAAGATTATGAAGATGATATATGCTCACTCAGAATTAAATTCTTTTCATTGAAGAAAGAATTTAAAGAATGTTATATAGCATATGAGCTAATTTTAAGAAAAAGATTTCTGCAAATATGAACTTGCTCTCAAAGTGAAATCCCTTTTTTTTTATTTTTAATTTTTTATTGTGGGTTGTTCAAAACATTACAAATTTCTTGACATATCATATTCCACACTTTGATTCAAGTGGGTTATGAACTCCCACCTTCACCCCATACACAGATTGCAGAATCACATCAGTTACACATCCATTGATTTACATATTGCCATACTAGTGTCTGTTGTGCTCCGCTGCCCATCCCATCCTCCCCCCTCCCCCCTCCCCACCTCTCCCCTCCCCTCCCCTCCTCTCTCTCTACCCCCTCCACTGTATAACCCTGAGGGTCTCCTTCCATTACCATGCAATTTCCCTTCTCTCTCCCTTTCCCTCCCACCTCTCATCCCTGTTTAATGTTAATCTTCTTCTCCTGCTCTTCGTCCCTACTCTGATCTTAGTTACTCTCCTTATATCAAAGAAGACATTTGGCATTTGTTTTTTAGGGATTGGCTAGCTTCACTTAGCATAATCTGCTCTAATGCCATCCATTTCCCTGTAAATTCTATGATTTTGTCATTTTTTAATGCAGAGTAATACTCCATTGTGTATAAATGCCACATTTTTTTTATCCATTCGTCTATTGAAGGGCATCTAGGTTGGTTCCACAGTCTTGCTATTGTGAACTGTGCTGCTATGAACATCAATGTAGCAGTGTCCCTGTAGCATGCTCTTTTTAGGTCTTTAGGGAATAGACCAAGAAGGGGAATAGCTGGGTCAAATGGTGGCTCCATTCCTAGCTTTCCAAGAAATCTCCATACTGCTTTCCAAATTGGCTGCACCAATCTGCAGTCCCACCAGCAATGTACAAGTGTACCCTTTTCCCCACATCCTCTCCAGCACTTCTTGTTGTTTGACTTCCTAATGGCTGCCAATCTTACTGGAGTGAGATGGTATCTTAGGGTGGTTTTGATTTGCATTTCTCTGACAGCTAGAGATGTTGAGCATTTTTTCATGTACTTGTTGATTGACTGTATGTCCTCCTCTGAGAAGTGTCTGTTCAGGTCCTTGGCCCATTTGTTGATTGGGTTGTTTGTTCTCTTATTGTCTAATTTTTGGAGTTCTTTGTATACTCTGGATATTAGGGCTCTATCTGAAGTGTGAGGAGTAAAGATTTGTTCCCAGGATGTAGGCTCCCTATTTACCTCTCTTATTGTTTCTTTTGCTGAGAAAAAACTTTTTAGTTTGAGTAAGTCCCATTTGTTGATTCTAGTTATTAACTTTTGTGCTATGGGTGTCCTATTGAGGAATTTGGAGCCCGACCCCACAGTATGTAGATCGTAGCCAACTTTTTCTTCTATCAGACGGCGCATCTCTGATTTGATATCAAGCTCCTTGATCCATTTTGAGTTCACTTTTGTGCATGGTGAGAGAAAGGGATTCAGTTTCATTTTGTTGCATATGGATTTCCAGTTTTCCCAGCACCATTTGTTGAAGATGCTATCCTTCCTCAATTGCATGCTTTTAGCCCCTTTATCAAATATAAGATAGTTGTAGTTTTGTGGATTGGTTTCTGTGTCCTCTATTCTGTACCATTGGTCCACCCGCCTGTTTTGGTACCAGTACCATGCTGTTTTTGTTACTATTGCTCTGTAGTATAGTTTGAAGTCTGGTATCGCTATACCGCCTGATTCACACCTCCTGCTTAGCATTGTTTTTGCTATTCTGGGTCTTTTATTTTTCCATATGAATTTCATGATTGCTTTCTCTATTTCTACAAGAAATGCCGTTGGGATTTTGATTGGCATTGCATTAAACCTATAGAGAACTTTTGGTAATATCGCCATTTTGATGATGTTAGTTCTGCCTATCCATGAACAGGGTATATTTTTCCATGTTCTAAGATCTTCTTCTATTTCTCTCTTTAGGGTTCTGTAGTTTTCATTGTATAAGTCTTTCACCTCTTTTGTTAGGTTGATTCCCAAGTATTTTATTTTTTTTGAAGATATTGTGAATGGAGTGGTTGTCCTCATTTCCATTTCAGAGGATTTGTCGCTGATATACAGGAATGCCTTTGATTTATGCGTGTTGATTTTATATCCTGCCACTTTGCTGAATTCATTTATTAGCTCTAATAGTTTCTTTGTATAGCCTTTTGGGTCTGCTAGGTATAGAATCATATCATCTGCAAATAGTGATAATTTAAGTTCTTCTTTTCCTATTTTTATGCCTTTAATTTCTTTTGTCTGTCTAATTGCTCTGGCCAGTGTTTCCAGAACTATGTTGAACAGAAGTGGTGAGAGAGGGCATCCCTGTCTTGTTCCAGATTTTAGAGGGAATGCCTTCAGTTTTTCTCCATTCAGAATGATGCTAGCCTGAGGCTTAGCATAGATTGCTTTTACAATATTGAGGTATGTTCCTGTTATCCCTAGTTTTTCTAGAGTTTTGAACATAAAGGGATGCTGTACTTTGTCGAATGCTTTTTCCGCATCTATCCAGATGATCATATGGTTCTTATTTTTAAGTCTATTGATGTGCTGAATAACATTTATTGATTTCCGTATATTGAACCAGCCTTGCATCCCAGGGATGAATCCTACTTGATCATGGTGCACAATTTTTTTGATATGTTTTTGTATCCGATTCGCCAGAATTTTATTGAGGATTTTTGCATCTAGGTTCATTAGAGATATTGGTCTGTAGTTTTCTTTCTTTGAAGTGTCTTTGTCTGGTTTAGGTATCAGGGTGATGTTGGCCTCATAGAATGAATTTGGAAGTTCTCCCTCTTTTTCTATTTCCTGAAGTAGCTTGAAAAGTATTGGTATTAGTTCTTCTTTAAAGGTTTTGTAAAATTCTGCTGTATACCCATCCGGACCTGGGCTTTTCTTAGTTGGTAGTCTTTTTATGGTTTCTTCTATCTCCTCAATTGATATTGGTCTGTTTAGGTTTTCTATATCCTCCTGACTCAATCTGGGCAGATCATATGACTTAAGAAATTTATCTATGCCTTCACTATCTTCTAATTTATTGGAGTATAAGGATTCAAAATAGTTTTTGATTATCTTCTGTATTTCTGAAGTGTCTGTTGTGATATTGCCTTTTTCATCCCGTATGCTAGTAATTTGAGTTCTCTCTCTTCTTCTCTTCGCTAGCATCGCTAAGGGTCTGTCGATTTTGTTTATTTTTTCAAAGAACCAACTTTTAGTTTTGTCAATTTTTTCAATTGTTTCTTTTGTTTCAATTTCTTTAATTTCAGCTCTGATTTTAATTATTTCTTGCCTTCTACTTCTTTTGCTGTTGTTTTGCTCTTCTTTTTCAAGGATTTTGAGATGAAGTATGAGATCATTTATTTGTTGGTTTTTTCTTTTTTTAAGGAATGAACTCCAAGCAATGAATTTTCCTCTTAGAACTGCTTTCAATGTGTCCCATAGATTCCGATATGTTGTGTCTTTGTTTTCATTTATCTCTAAGAATTTTTTAATTTCCTCCTTGATGTCTTCTATAACCCATTGATCATTCAGTAACCTATTGTTCATTCTCCAAGTGATGTATGCTTTTTCCTTCCTTCTTTTATCGTTGATTTTCAGTTTCATTCCATTATGATCAGATAAAATGCATGGTATTATCTCTACTCCTTTATATTGTCTAAGAGTTGCCCTGTGACATAATATATGATCTATTTTTGAGAAGGATCCATGTGCTGCTGAGAAAAAAGTGTAACTGCTTGATGTTGGGTGGTATACTCTATATATGTCAATTAGGTCTAGGTTATTAATAGTGTTATTGAGTTCTATAGTTTCCTTATTCAACTTTTGTTTGGAAGATCTGTCCAGTGGTGAGAGAGGTGTGTTGAAGTCTCCCATGATT